TGATAAATTTATTGTTTTGCTTGAACGGGTGGACATTTTGGAAGTGCTAACCCTAACCCTATCATCCCTTGAACAAAAGGACAAAATGCGGAAAAGAGAAGCACCAGTATCCCAGAATCACGACACAGTTCAACAACTCAAGCTGCAGGAAATCACTAATCCTGCTAGTAACATCTCTATCCTTGTAAAAGACATGATTGAACATGAACAGAAGCATCCCAACGCTATCTTATTTGGACTGGATGACACCAACGAATTCAACAGCATCATAAAGGTTCGCGACATTATCAAAAACTTCCAGGCATCAGCCATTGCTTCCAATGAAATCATCAATGTTTCCCGTGATGGCCCCAAGTTCAAGAACAGTGATAGCTCGGTGAGCCCCACGCTTCTGCAGAATTGTTTGCAAGAGCAAAACCAGCAAACACAAATTCATTTCCACAATAAACTCACTCGCCAAAAACTGCACAAACCATAGGAAATTTCGTTTGTGGCCTAACCTGTACATACTGCTCCGCTTGGAGCTCAAAAGATGCCAGGACCAAGGAGAGACTGACCTGTACATAAACTACCATGCCCACTGCATCAAACACAAGATCAGTGGCCTTTGTCCCAACAACTGCCCCCATCAACCAAAACTAGGCATGCATGTCCCCAACTTCCTCCAGGTCCACCTAAAATGCAAGCTACTTAATGCAAGAAGCCCCAGAAACAAAATGCCTGAATTCCTCCTGCTTCTAAGTGTGGCCCTATTCAACCTTATTTTTGTCTGTGAGATGTGGTTGAATGTATTTTTTCCAGACTCCATTATTACAGTAAGTGATATCACATTTTCCGGTCTGACCGTGATAATCGTAGAGGGGGTGGTGTTGCTATCTTCTATAAAAAGTCCCTAGGTCTGAAAAAGATAAATGTTACACAAGACCTTGCTCTTCCTGAGATCATTGTCTGTGAACTGTCCCTAAATACCAGAGTTCGTATCTTACTATGCTATAGAGCCCCCGATTATGACCTTGGTCATATGAACAAGCTAACTGTACTATTAACATAGGCAGCTTCCTGCCCGCACCCCCTTATCTTTGGTGACCTCAATTTGCCACTTATTAATTGGACTCTAAATGAATATACAACTGAACCTATACATGCAACCCTGTACAATACTGTTATGATACTGGGGCTGGAGCAGTTGGTAATGAACAACAATTCAAGAAAAAAATCTCTTTGGCGAGAAAACAAAACTGGCTATGTAGCCAACTTTAAAAATTGCTACAAAGCCTTATGCCACCAGATAAAAGCTGAATGTACTAATCACCATTGCAAACAGGAGGAAGAGCTGCTAAACTCAAACTCCTCCCAAGGATTCTATAACTTCATAAATGCCAAACTAAAGACTCAAAAATTATCCCACCCCTAAAAGGGCCTAACAGGGAAAACTGTAACAATGAAGCTGATATTGAAGGCCAACCTCTTCAATATGTTCTTCAGTTCAGTCTTTGTTGACAGTAATGGCTGCTGCCTCCCTTTTCCTAATTGTATCATAACAAATTGTAATGATTTACTACATACTGATTTTACAATAGATAACGCTGAAATGGCACTACATAACCTAAAGCCATCTCTATCTGTTGGCCCTGATGGATTATGTGCCTACTTTTTGAAAAAGCTTGCTACTGCCCTAGCAGATTGTGCTCTATGCACAATCTATGAGGTATCCTTGCCTGACCTATGGTCATTAGACACAGTTATACCTATCTTTAAAAGCACACCAGAGAAGTCTGTCTTACTATGGGGAACTTCAATGTTAGATTGGGACCGATGATTACACACTATATATGAAATATCATCATTATCCACCATCAGAGGTTCCCATAAGAACCAGCTCCTCCCTCACACGACTCTCTAAAGACAAGAGAGCAAATTTCGCTGGCTCTGTCTTGCAAAGATGGCGAATAAACTCAACTTTTTATATCCAATGGCTCTTGGGCTGGCGACTACCCTGGCGAGATTACATTTATGGCAGGGTCCAAAACCAGCAGCATTGATTATATCCTAACTTCTATGGACTTATTACATTACGTAGAAAATTTTGAAATCTTACCTTACCTGGAAAGCAATCATCTACCTATACATGAAGCCCTTCATCCTGCACATGCCCTTCGGGAACCAATTTATTCTTGCAATTTCTCCAGCAGGCCCAATAAGATGTAGGTTCAAATGGTACCAACAACTTGACCAGAAGGTGAGGAGGGCTCTATCAGAGGCACTCTTCAAAAACTTCACTCAGCCTTTATTACAGCCAACCCTTCCCAAGGTTTACTAGAACTATATAAAAACATAGTTCATAAGCTACAACCAATACTAGTACATGACCAGAACTTTTCAGCTAAGAGGCCCTGTATCACCTCCAAACCATGGTTTTACAAGGATTGTGTAGAAGCCAAGAAAGCTCTCACCTTGGCTTATAAGATGTACAAAAGCGAGACTGGGAATGGTAATAAAACAAGTTTTAAACATCTTATTACTCTCAAAAAGCACTATAAGCAACTGATTGCTCTTAAGAAGAGACAAGACACAAGGTCTTCCTGGGAACAGCTTATTGTGGAAGCAAAGCAAAAGAACTCTTTTCTATTCTGTCACCTAATAGCTAGTCATTCTGACAGAATTCATACCCCATTAGACGTCCACATACCTCTTACAACCTGGGAACTTCACTTTTGGAGAATGTCTGAAGACCCCTCCAGCGAGAGTATAAGGTATACAATGAAGGACTTACCTGAATGGCCCCCGGTTTCAGAGTCCGAAATCAAATCACTCATTGGCCAACTCAGGACTGGGAAGGCCCCAGGAGCTGATTTCATTACTGCGGAATTACTAAGGAACAATTTGGAGTGCTGGATACCAGTTCTGGGGGCGCTATTCACTTATATCGACTCCACTGCCTATGTCCCAGAAGATTGGGGCTTGGCAATTGTCCCAATTTTTAAAAAGGGAAAGAGAGAGACCCTGCCAATTACAGACCAATAAGTTTGCTAAACATAATCAGCAAACTTTACGCCAAACACCTCCAAGATAAACTAAAGGAGTGGCTGGATTTTGAGAATTTGATCGCTGAAGAGCAAGCCGGGTTTAGAGAGGGAAGAGGCACCACTGATAGTGCTTAGTTCTTCATCATCTGATTGAGAAATACATATCAAATAGACCTGTATCATTATACACCGGTTTTATAGATCTCAAGACAGCCTTTGATACGGTTTCCAGGACTAAGCTATGGGAGAAGCTAAAAGCTGCCTCAATTGACCACACGCTTCTTCATCTTTTCTTTTTTTAAAAAAATAAATTTTATTGAATATTTTACATTTTTAAAACCAAACACACAATAGCAAAAGAAAACAAGAGAAAAAAAACAAAAACACATACACATCTATTATGTGCCCTACATACTAAAGCATCCCTCAAGTTGAGGTGTAATATACAAGGGTCCCTCTTGAAGTCAGTTAAAACTCAAAAGAGGGTTAAACAGGGGTGCATTTTGGCCCCCCTGCTTTTCAACTTTTACATAAATGACATGATAAAATGGCTAAATGAACCAAATCACACACACACACAAAATAGGTGACCGAAGCATCGGTCTCCTGCTCTATGCAGACAACGCTGTGATCCTCCACCATGGGCCTTAAAAGAACCTTGCAAGCCCTTCTCCAGTACTGTAATTACAATAAACTGGACATAAATTATGAGAAAACAAAGATCATGGCCTTTGCAAAAAGGCCAAAACTTTATTCATGGTTTCTAAATGGCCATAAAATAGAGCAGGTAATCACCTTCAAGTACCTGGGGGTGGAAATTCAGGCCAATGGTTCAAGAAAAGCACATGGAGAATATGCAGCTGCCTTGGGCCAAAGATAAGCAAGCACCATTCTTATTTTTTTCTGCACAAAGGGAGGATCAGTGGTGGGTTGCTACCAGTTCTCCTTGGTCCTTGCGAACTAGTAGTGGAAATTTTGAGTAGTTCAGAGAACCGGTAAATACCACCTCTGTCTGGCCCTGCCCTCAATCTATTCGCTGCCTCTCGAGTCCCAGCTGATTGGCTTGAAGGAAAAAATCAGGGCTCACTTGACAAATAAGAGGGGAAAAAAACAAGACACCTTAGCTTTAAATTGAGAAGCCAAGAAGCCTCCCAACTGATCGGCTAGAACTGATCTGCTCCTTGTAAACCACTTGGTGGTGGTAGATTGGCAATTGAAGCCAAGCTGCCTGAAAGCGGTTTCCGATGCTCTCGGTGGTGGCAGAGCAGCAAAAAACTGTTTAAACTCTTGCTGCAGTGTTTCAAAGGGCTGCCCTACAGCTGATCAGCAATAAAAGGCAGTGCGGTGGTAGACCAGTGCACTTCTTCCAAAAAGAAATGGGTAGTTCCAAAAACAAATAGGTAGACCGGAATGCTCCAAAAACAAATGGGTAGACCCGTACGGCTCTGCAAGCAATTAAAAGCCTGGTAGACCAGTACCTCTGCTAAATCCTAAAGAATTGTTTGTCACATGACCATCAAACCACGCCCACAAAATAAGCCACACCCACAGGTAGTAAAAAAAATTAGAACCTATCCCTGGGGAGGATATTATGTCCCTGCTGCTATTAAGCTTTTTGTGGCAAAGTCACTAGCACAGCTTCTTTATAGGACTTTGCTCGGACCGTCAGCTTCATGTTTTACATCATTAGAAATAGTTCAATCCAAATTCATTAGATTAATTCTCCAGATGCCACATTGTGTCTCAAATGCATTTCTGTACCTGGAGACAGGATTGATAAAAGTCAAAGCAAGAATTTGTATAGCGTCCTTAAATCTCTGGCTAAAATTTAACTTCTTTCTGCAAGGTATTGCTCCGTAATCCTCTAAGACAAATTCTCTTCATCATGGTCAAGGCTGTCGAGTCCAACCTTGCCAAATTAGGCTTCTCCCCAGCTTTAATACTCAAGATGGACTATGATTTAGCAAGACAAACCTTTAGCAAGATGGACTATGATTTAGCAAGATAAAGAGTGGAGGACATCGAGAGGCAGGTGGACTTAGGGAAAGCTCCACTGTTTCTGGCTCCAGATGCCATTAGATGTGTTGTTGCTCCTGCCAGCTATCTTAGTCAGTGTGAATCAGCAAACCATCGGAAAGCGTTTTCACTCGCACGGTGCCATGCGCTTCCATCGGCAGTCCTGTATGGCAAGTATAAAAAGATACCATTCATGGAAAGACTCTGTCCCTGCAGCAAAGGAAAGGTGGAGACTGTGGGTCACATGCTCTTTAGATGTTCCTTTTATATGGAAATTAGGAAAAAAACATATTCTGCCAATAAGTGTTTAGATATCCTGGCCGTTTTGACACTACCTATCTTCAGTGGCTGCTTAAGGATGAACAGTCCATAACTACAGTGCAGGTGGCCGGATTCTGCACAGCAGCACTGGGGATTCATTGCAAATACGTGTCTTCTCAAACATAGTGATGTTATATAACAATTATGGTTAACCCTTTGCACTGCTTAGCCATTTCCCTTTTAGCGCTGAACCTACAATGGGCCACACAGTTTAAGGATTGCAACTATCATATAGTCATACAGTCAAGAGAATGTATAATTGACACTGGATTTATATATATATGTATGTATGTAATAATAAATTGTACTGTATTGTATCTTTAAAAAGGGAGATCCTAGTCTAGTAGAAAATTACAGACCAATCTCACTGTGTTGCGTCATCTGTAAAGTTATGGAATCAATTATAAACCAATCCATCACCCTCCACTTAGAGACAAACAATCTACTATCTAACAAACAGTTTGGTTTTAGAAAAAAATTGTCTTGTAATCTGAAACTCTTACACTGTAGAAACATTTGGATCACACATCTTTACCAGGGTAAAGCAATAGATGCAATTTACATAGATTTCTATAAAGCCTTTGATTCAGTGGTGCACAACAAACTACTGTTGAAACTAAGTTCTTATGGCAACTCCGGATCCCTGCACAAGTGGATAGCCACGTTCCTGTCCAACAGGCAACAAATAGTCAAAATAGGGAGAGCCCTCTCAAATCCGGCACTTGTTAACAGCGGTGTCCTCCAAGATAGCATTTTAGAACCCACACAATTTCTGCTTTACATTAATGTCCTATGCGATCATATTAAAAGCAGCTGTGTCCTTTTCGCTGATGACATAAAATTATTTAACACCACTGACAATGCTGATGCCCTACATATGTCAGAATGGTTGTGCATTTGGCAACTCCAAATCTCAACTAATAAATGCTCTGTCCTACACATTCGCAAAAAAAATCAGAACAACAAATACAATTTGGGCAGAAATGATCTTGTGATAACCTTCACTTTGTCAAGGACCTAGGACTACTTATCTCAAACAATCTAGTCCCAGAGCTCACTATAATAGCATTGTCAAAAAGGCATTAAGAGTTGTTAACATAATCTTGCAAAGCTTCTTCTCCGGTAACATTGTACTGCTAACTAGGGCATAGAAAACCTTTTCCAGACCAATTCTTGAATACAATTCATACGCCTAGAATCCACATTGTATATCAGACATTAACACAATTTAGCAGGTCCAGAAGTATTTCACGGGAAGAGTACTCCACTCCACTACTTACAATAAAATCCCTTATGCCACCAAATTTGAAATTCTGGGCTTGGACAATCTGGAACTGCGCCACCTGTGGTCTGATCTAAGCTAGTACACAAAATTGTCTGCTACAACATCTTAGCTCTCAATGACTTCTTTAGCTTCAACCACAAACAACCACAAACAATGGGCAAATAATTGATACAAACTCAAGGAAAACCGCTCCAAACTCAACTGCAGAGAATATGACTTCAGCAACAGAGTCGTCAATGCCTGGAATGCTCTACCTGACTCCATTGTTACAGCCTCAAACACTTACAGCTTCAACCTCAAACTGTCTACCGTGGATTACCTCATTCCTAAGAGGTCCGTAAAGGAGGCATGGTGTGCGCATCCCTGTCTTACTGTCCCCATTTATCTGTATTTACTTCCTTTGTTTATATTCATGTTTATACTTATACCTGCTATCTTGTACATGTTTGACAAAAAATAAGTAAAATAAAATAAAATAAAATAAAAAACATTCAGTGATAGCCATAGGATACTAAATAAAGCAATCAACATAAATTGTAGGATACAGATAACAAAGTGAGAGTCATAAGATGCTAAAGGAATAGGTAATAGGAAACATGAGAAGTATAGTAATACAGCCCTACTACATGGTTGACTTCCTAGAGCAGTGATGGCGAACCTTTTTGTCGTTGCGTGCCAAAAGCGGGGGAGCACAGGAGGGGTCACGTGCATCTGTGCCCTAACCCATAATTCAATGCACTGTTTTCACCCTCCCCAGGCTCCTAGAAAGGCTCTGGAGCCTGAGGAGAATGAAAAACAGGCCTTCCCCACCCACCACCCACCCCAGAAGGCCCACAGGGGCTGGAAACAGCCTGTTTCCCAACTTCCATTAGGCCCAGAAGGCCCGAAAATCAGCTGGCATGCACCGGAGCTGAACTAGGGCAATGCTCGTGTGCCCACTGATATGGCTCCATGTGCCACCTGTGGCACACATGCCATAGATTCGCCATCACGGTCCTAGGGCATAAGATAGTGTTGTGGGAATTACTTGTTTAGCAGAATGATGGCATGGGAAAGAAATCTGTCTTCATATCTAGTTGTTTTGGTGTGCAATGCCTATAGTATCATCTTGAGAGAAGAAGTTGAAACAGTTTATGGTTGTGAGGGGTCTGAGATATATCAGCCCTCTTTCTGGTTCGTACCATATACAGGTTCTCAATGGAAGGCAGGCTGGTTGTAATTGTTTTTTCTGCATTCCTTACTATCTGTTGAAGAATATGTCTCTCCTATTTGGTTGCTGTGCCAAACCAGACAGTTATAGAGGTACAAATGAAAGACACTATAATTCCCTTGTAGAACTGTATCAGCATCTTCTTGGGCAATCTGAATTTCCTGGATTGACGCAGGAAAAATCTTTGACATTGTGCTTTTTTGATGTTTTTTATATTTATATTTATTATTTAATTATAAATAAAAAATAAATAAATATTAGGTGTCCATTTCAAATCCTGGGAGATTATAGAATCCAGAAACTTGAAGGTCTCTATTATTGATACTGTGCTGTCTAGTATTGAAAGAGGTGATAGAATAGGAGGGCTTTTCCTAAAATCTACAATCATTTGTACAATTTTGAGTGGGTTAAGTTAAAGATTGTTCTGGATGCACCACAGGGCCAGTTTTTAAGTTCCTATCTGTCTGCAAATTTCAGTACTTTAACAGAGGGATATTTTGAGATACAGTTATTGGTATAGAGAGAAAAGAGTAATGGAGAGAGCACACAGCCCTGGGGGCAGGGGGATATATGCAGTGGTGGGATTCAAGTTATTTAACAACCGGTTATTTGCCCTAATGATTTCTTCCAGCAACCAGTTTGCCAAACTGCTCAGAAAGTTAACAACCGGTTCTCCCAAAGTGGTACGAACTGGCTGAATCCCACCACTGGATATATCAGAGTCCAGCATCTATGTGATATATTAAAGCACTCCTACATTACATATAGAGGAGGGGCAAATGGAGGGGCAAATCTGGATGAATTTCTCCATCTTACTATTGAATAGGGTACGGAAAAAAAAGATAACTATTAGCAGCTTCTTAAAGTCTAACTTGATTCATATTGGTTAGTCAATGTCTGTCTTAGATGTTTTTACTTGTTTAAATTTTGTAACCCACCAAATCTTAATACCTACAACATCATCCCTACAATAAAGTCATCTGCATGAAGCAGATGGCAAAACTAACATAATACTAAAACAAACAAAAAAAAAAACAGAAAGAGTCAATAATACTATTATTATCTTTCATATAACCTTTTAGCCAGGATTTAGTAAAAATTACAATTAAAAAGATAAAACAGTCCAAAGAAAAATTAAAAAATACAAAATACAAAAATGAAAACATATAAAAATAGAAAATAAAATAAAAATATAATAAAGAAAAAAAGAAATATTTAAGTGACTCTTCTATCACAAATATACACATATTTAGTAACTTATCACCTTCTCTTAAAAGGCAACAAATGAACTTTTCTTTCTGTATCCCATCTCTTATCTTCAAATTAAATCTTAAAGCCTTGCTGTTCAGTTCTGATAGCAAAAGTCCATAAAGGGCTACCAGAAATAATGACATATCTACTTTAAACTTCATCAAATAAACTAACTTTATATTGCTTCCTTTTACTTTTAATAGTCTTGATTTTTAATCCCTTCAGATAATGTTCTAGAACTTGGTTTCATATTTTTTTATCTTTTTTATAATATTTTTTTAAGTTTAAAAGTACGAAGTTAAAAAAAGAATACAAATTATTATTATTTTTAATCCCTTCTCACAAACTTCTTCAAAAATGTAACCAGTCTTGAAGAGCATTCAGAGACTTTACTGGTCCAGAATGGAGTGGCATATATACTATTGGGCACGTATGTGTTTAACAATGAAGTATAAAAGCTTTCCCCAATTTGGTGGATAGAATTATGAATCAAATTACCCATTGGTAATTGGCCAACAAGCTTATTGAATGAGTTGTAAACCAAGAGAGCTAGAGGATTAGTTCAGGAATATTGTGCTGAAATTTGATGACAAAGTTCATATCTTCATTCAACTAACCCTAAAGCAGGAGTGAGCTGGCAAGCTTTTGATAGATGCAGACCACACTCATCTGTGCTGCTGAAGGATGTTGTGATAGGCAGAATACAAAAAGTAGCTAGAAGGTAAAAGTAGCTAGAATTATCTTAATTTACATGGCTTTTTGGTTTTTAGGGTTTAGCACTGAAGTTTTTCAAGTATTTCTCACCAGAAAATGATGGGAAACTAAGTTGCCAGTTTCTGGTGGTAATTTTATTAGAGTTCAGTAGTGTAAGTGAAAGCAGGAGGAGCCATAATGCCTGTAAAAGCTGTTAAAAGTTGGTGGGGGAAGCCCAAATTCATTACCCTGAATGGATTGAGTATTTTTTATTTAAAAATTGTGATTACAATGTGGCATCCACTACTGCAGTCATAGTTGAATTATTAGTAAATTTATCTAGGAACAGTAGTTGACATAATAAAAGACAAGTTGAAAATTTAAGAGGCTTGGCTAGAATACAGTATGAAAACCAACTAAAAGATATCAACCATTAAGACATATTATCTATCTTCCTTAAAACTGGAATAATAAAGAAAAATCTCAGTTTTTAGGTTTATATGTGACAATTACCTGCACTACTTTTTAAAAGTTACATCAGAGTGCATATTAGCATGCTCATTTCCCAGTTTCCAGGCAAAGCTATTTCTCCTATGGGACAGTATTGATTTTTACATCAGAGAACACTTGCTTGCTTATTAGAATGAAGGGGGAGTTCAATTCCTAAGAGGCTAGAGCAGGCTCCAAAGGAATATATTGATGAATGTTACTGGGCTGTATGCCAGAACTGATATATCTCTCTCCCCCTCCCTTCTTTGTAACACTTTGACTCTCTCATTCTTGTACATCAGTGAGCACAAACCACTGAACATCCAAAGGAACTGAATTACCTGAAAAGATAACTTTCCATTGTATCACACAAGGATGCAATCATGCAAATGATGTTTTCACAGGTTCTTTTACAGGAAGTCTAAAACAGGAAATAGCTTCAGGTAATCATGTCATCACTGTACAAAAATACAGTGAAAGCAGATAATATTTAAAGAAATGTCTTTTAAATTATTGCAACCTGCAGGATTTCAATACTCATATGAATACCTTTCTGACTGAAGCTCTTTCAAATCAGTGGGAGCACTGGTTTGGGCTTTGCATTTCAAAGCCCCCCCCCCATTTTTTTTTGCACTTCTGCTGTTTATATGTGTGAGTGTCTTACTGTTAGTATGAGTGTGTGTTTAATTCTGAACATCAAGCAGATATTCATATGGATCTGTTGTACACATTGTAAAACTTGGTTGCTGTTCCCATTTCTATTCCTTTTCTAATCTTGAGTTGTATTCTAGAAACTGGCTTTGCACATTCTCCAAGGACAAACCAATTTTTTCCTGAAACATAAGATTAGTTCCCTCCCTTGAAATGGGACAATTGATTATTAGTTGCCATGCTTCTTGAGTAAACAATTACTACCTGAAAAAAATGTAACAAGTTCATAGCAAGTAGCATATCTAGCAGCATTCATTGTTCCCATAGGTTTAATGTATTTATTAAATTCTGCATTTTTATGTCTTTTTGTTACAAATCTGATTTATCAAAATGCAGTTTAAACAAACAAAACTAAAGCCTGCACAAATTTGCACTGATTTTTTTTCTTTGGTTTTTCTTAAAACATAGATTTTTAAATATAATGATATTTAGATTTTTAAAGCAAAGAATTCCAATACTTAAAACAGTATCCACTCCCATTTAACTGTTTCAATCCTTATACTGTATTGCTTTGAGAAGGTAATTTGGTTCTCTTAAAAAGTAGGATAAACCAAATTCTCTGTCACTTCTATTATTTTGGGATATTATAGGACATCTCTATTCACATGAATTTTTGTTATCCAATTGGAAAATTTGAGTGCCTTTAAAATAAGATTATGCAATTTGTTTTCAGTCAGGACCCATATTTCCTATTTCCTCAAGCAAAGTTATTCTCAAAAATAAAGGCATACTAAGACAAAATAATAACAGCAAAACAAACATCAATAGTAATCATGTCCATTAACTTTTTAATGTGACAAAAGGAAAATATTAAACTTGTATCAACTTATTTTGTATCAATTTCTTCTGGGATAAATGGCTTGAATCTCACATTAAAAGTGCAGAGTTCTTTTAAAGCAGACTAGCATTCACAAGAAAATCTACTGGTGGAGTTGAATGAAATCTAGCATGCTTTCAAAAGAGTTTTTATTATTATTACTAATACAGGTAGAGCATGAACAGTGTGAGTTCTAATAGTGCAATATTTGATCTAGTGTGGTTTACAAACTGATCCCAGTTTAGGCAAGCCACTGTTCAGGGAGTGCAAGGCTAGCACATGCACCGTTGACACTAGCATATGGACAATCGGGATTTTAGATGTTAATTGTTTTATGTGAAAAATGGAGAAGAAGTTTCCATTCAAGCAAAGCTAAAAAAAGAAGAGGCTGATTTTGAAGAACAGCAGCAGAGTACGGGAGATAGCATATATGCTTTAGATATGGGTTTATCCTTTTTTCTGTTACAGAGTGATTCATTAATAAACATGCAAAATTTTGTGTTTAAAATTTTTAATTGCCTATTTCTACTGAGTTGAAACCAATTATTCTATTTTCCATAGAAATATCATTTCAAATATTGCAGATCTGTATAATGCAATCATTTTGTGGGATTCATTAACCCCATTAATCGAGACCTACCTTATTATGAAATCAAATCAAACTGCTGCCAGCTATTTTTTGTTCAGCACATCTTCAGCTTTTTCAATTGATTGCTTATAATGCTGTGAATTGAAAGTCCTGCCTCTTTAGGTCCTACCTAAAGAGCTGCAATTCTGCTTCTGTGGTGAGGGAGAAATTAAAACCTTGGTTTGCTGAACTGCCTTTTTTTATATAGAAATTCAGACAGGTCAGAGGCTGATTACCATCATGGAGGATATAAGGATTTATATTCCTTACAATCATTTGGTCATTGGCACTCACTCTGAGAGTTGTTGAGGCTACTTGGAGGTTTATATGTGCCTGGGGGGGAGAGGTCACCTGAATAATGCAAATGGGTGTGAACCATCTTGGAACTGCTGAAACATGGATGGATGGATGGATGGATGGATGGATGGAAGGAAATATTTCCAAACCAAATTTCTGAAATGTAACTTCAGCTTCAATTATAGGAAAAAAATGCTAACAATGAAAGCATAGGCAATGTATGAATTTGAATGCCAAGTATAGCTTGCTTTCTTTTTTAAAAAAAATTAAAGAACATTCTTTAATCTCCTACAATCTGAATATGAGATGAGATGACTCACCAAAATTTAATAGTGACTAAAACAAAAACTAGTAATTTTTCTCATATTTCAAAGCTATTTGATTAAGATATTTCATCTTTTCCAAATATTTACTTTGCTTCAAATTGGAGATACATAGAAGATGCAAAATAGGACCTGAATTCTAATCTTCACCTTCTGTTCTGGTTTAGGTCCCTCAATAAGGTCTAGGCTTTGCTTCAGACAAAAAGACCTGAATTCTATCTTTAAAATTCAATTATATCGTGATTAAAAAAAGGGGGGGTATCTACCATTCAAGGGCTCATTATGTGCACAAAAAGGGGATGTTCACAGAGGCCATAGAGAATTTAAAAGATTTATTTATGATGTATTACTGTAATTTTTAATTTAGACATGCAAATTTTTTAATTTGCACTGACTGCTTTGCCTTAATGGTTTTGATTAATACTTGGAGGTAGTGTTTGTGAAAGAGATTTATACTGTGATTCATCTGCAAAATAATCAAATCATTACCAGCTAATGACAAAGCTGTGAAAAATGATGCAGATATTGTGTAACTCGCAGCTAATGCAGTTCATATGAATGTACCCCAATCCTTCCAGCAAACACAGACATGTGTTAATAACTGCTGGGAAGTTCGCTTTAGGTCCACTCTAATTTGGCAACAAAAACATTGATCTTAATAAAGCTGTCAGATAAAAGGAGTCATGATTAACATCCCTGAACTCTTTATTCAACTAGGTTTGTCAAAAATACTTTTTCTATATGCTCTCTTTAAGAAACGGGATTTAACCACATTTTTCACTTCTGTTCCTATCTCACTTAACTCTTTGTAAAAAAAATAGAATGTGTTCTGCATTAGAAGCTTCAATTCTATTTTCATTGGGGTGGAGGTGGGAAACTTCTTACGACAGTATTGCATAATTTTTCTACCACCATTACCAGATCAATTTTTCCTAACTTTTTTGGGTATGTTTTTTTAACATGACTCTGTTATTATGATGTCATCATTAGTTAAGATAAGAATAGATGACTAGATACCTTTTTTCATTTTGTGGACTGCCAAGTAGATGAACACTGGAGTTTCTTGTTTGTTTTTATAGATCAAAAATATTTAGAACTAATCTGCATCCATTTTCCCATCCTACCAAATTTTCATCTAGGATTTATCCTTATTTAAGCCATTTTCATAAAAAAGTACAAATGTAATTATCTTATTTTGTAGACATATTTCAGAAGCTCATTTCTTTTAGACACATCTCCTATAAATGAATTGTTTCTCCATGTCTGTTGGAATACAGAGAATAGTTGTACTATACAATGTTGCCACCCATGATAGGGTAACTTGCATAAGGAGGCTTTATTCCACATGCAAATAGCATTTCTTGGGAACAAGGAAGATGAAAGGGATAAACTCTACAATGGAGTGGTGTTTTAATACTGCGATTATGCATTACGTTTACATTACAATTAACATCATATCTACTTTAAAAAGTTACAGTGTATCTTATCTACATTTTATTCTGGAATAGCTATGATCTACCATTCAATTGTTCACATTTATATATTCTGGAAAACATAAGTTTATGCAACAAACATGTAGAATCAACTAAGTCTGGAAAATCCCACCAAAATAAATTAAATTCTTACTGTCATCATGGAAGAAGTCCCTTTGAATCACAAATCTACGTAGTTTTTCTTTGTAATATACATACTGTAGATTTCTTGTTTGACACATATAGAAAGCTAAATAAAAATAATTATCCATATGAGAGAAGGAAATTAAGGCAAAATGTAGGACAATAATCATTTTATCATTATAAATAGCTAAGACCTGAACAGTTTCTTTAGGAATATCCAATATTTTAGAAAGGCCTGTGGAATGAATAACTCTTTTGATGGACAAGCTCTATGCCATTCATTTCTTTATAAAAGTTTTTTCACTCTCTCTCCTTGTGTTAGATTAGCTTCAAGCTGCTGTTATATCTGATCCATGATTCTTGTATTGCCATTCTGATGGCAATCACAAATATAATTATAATAGAGGTGTTTCACTTCTGTTTTGACTATTTATTTATTTATTTATTTATTTATTTATTTATTTATTTATTTATTTATCAATCAAATTTCTATACCGCCCTACTCCCGAAGGACTCAGGGTGGTGAACAGCCAAGATAAAATACAGATAATACAAATATTAAAAATCCCTTAAAATTATTAAATATTTTGGCTGAAACACAGATTAAAACACCCAATTTATAAAATCACGAATTAAAAATTTAAAAGAGGAGAGTTAGGCCAGGCCAGCCTGCTGAAATAGAAAAGTTTTGAGAGCACAGCGAAACATGCGCAGGTCTGGGATCCTCCGTATCTCTGGGGGGAGCTCGTTCCAGATGGTAGGTGCCCCCACAGAGGAGGCTCTCCCCCTGGGGGCTGCCAGTCGACACTGTTTGGCCGATGGCACCCTGAGGAGCCCCTCTCTATGGGAGCGTACTGGTCAGTGAGAGGCTATTGGTAGCAGAAGGCGGTCGCGTAAATACCCCGGTCCGATGCCATGGAGCGCTCTAAAGGTGGTAACCAAAACCTTGAAGCGCACCCGGAAGACCACCGGGAGCCAGTGCAGCTCGCGCAGGAGGGGGGTCACATGGGAGCGCCACGTCGCTCCCATAACCACCCGTGCGGCCGCATTCTGGACCAGCTGGAGCCTCTGGGTGCTCCTCAAGGGGAGCCCCATGTAGAGAGCATTGCAGTAGTCCAAGCGGGAAGTAACGAGAGCATGAGTATTTAACGAGTCCCGATCCAGAAAGGGACGCAACTGGTGAATCAGGCGAACCTGATAAAAAGTCCCCCTGGCCACGGCCGTCATGTGCTCTTCTAAAGACAGCCGGGAGTCCAGGAGGACACCCAAGTTGCGAACCCTCTCCGTGGGGGCCAATGACTTGCCCCCAATAGTCAGTGATGGCACCAACTGACTATATCGGGATGTCAGAAACCACAGCCACTCAGTCTTGGATGGGTTGAGCCTGTCTGTTTCTCCCCATACAGATCCGCACGGCCTCTAGGCACCGGGACATCACTTCAAGGGCATCATTGGGGTGGTCCGGGGTGGAGATGTACAGCTGAGTATCATCAGCATACTGATGGTACTTCACCCCGAAACCACGGATGATCTCACCCAGCGGCTTCACATAAATGTTGAACAGAAGGGGCGAGAGGACCGACCCTTGTGGTACCCCACATTCAAGGGGCCTCGGGGTCGACCTCTGCCTCCCTGTCAACATGGACTGTGACCGGTCAGAGAGAAAGGAGGAGAATCACCGTAGGACGGTGCCCCCCACCCTAACTCCTCTAGCCGGTGCAGCATGATACCATGGTCGATGGTGTCAAAAGCTGCTGAGAGGTCTAATAGGACCAGGACAGAGGAACAACCCCTGTCCCGAGCCCTCCAGAGATCATCAACCAATGCGACCAATGCCGTTTCCGTGCTGTACCCAGGCCTGAAGCCCGACTGGAATGGATCCAGATACGACGATTCATCCAGGTACTGGGGGAGCTGTCACGCTACCACACTCTCAACAACCTTCGCAACAAAGCGAAGGTTGGAGACTGGACGATAATTTGCCAACACTGCCGGGTCCAGGGAAGGCTTCTTGAGGAGAGGCCTCACCACCGCCTCTTTCAAGGTGGCAGGGAAGATACCCTCACTCAAAGAAGCATTTATAATCCCCTGGAGCCAGCCTCGTGTAACCTCCCGAGAGGCCAGCACCAACCAGGAGGGACACGGGTCCAGTAAACATGTGGCTGCGCTCAGTCTGCCCAGTATCCTGTCCACGTCTTCGGGCATCACAGAATCAAACTCTTCCCAGATAATACTCACAAGACCTGCCTCTGTCCTCCCCGCTGAATCTACCCAGTCAGAGTCCAGGTGTTCCCGAATCTGAGCGATTTTGTCATACAGATACTGTACAAAATCCTCAGCTCTACCCTCCAAGGGGTCCTCCCGCGCTTCCTGGTGGAGCAGGGAGTGGGTCACCCTAAACAGGGCGGCTGGGCGATTATCTGATGACGCAATAAGAGTGGCAAAATAGTTATACTTCGCCACTTTTATCGCCACCAGGTAGGTCTTAATATGAGACCTTACCAGTGTTTGGTCAGATTCAGAATGGCTGGCCCTCCAACCACTCTCCAGGCGTCTTTTCCGGTGCTTCATCTCCCTCAGCTCCTCGGTGAACCAAAGAGCCAGGCGAGATCGACATCGGGTCAGAGGCCGCAAAGGCACGACCCGATCCAAAGCTCCAGCGGCCGCCCTATCCCAGGCGGCCACCAGCTCCTCAGTCGAGCCGTGTGCCAGAGCCTCAGGAAATGGCCCAAGCTCCATCTGGAACCTATCAGGATCCATCAGGCGCCTGGGGCGGTACCACCTCAATGGTTTAACCAGGAATTCCATGTACATAAAACTTGCATTATGAAAAGCTACATTGAATAAGCTCAGTATTAACTACCTTTACTATTCTTGCCAGAGGATCTACAGTACATCTGGAATCTCCTTTGGCAAATATCAAAATAACTTCTCTTTCTACTGGAAACTTTTGGATCCAAATTATTTATTTATCTAAGATCTAAGTCATATCAACAAAACCTGAAGCTTTAATATTTTTAAAAAATGTAGTGCCCTAAGTATTAAATTTTCCCATACTGGTTCTGTGGCATTGTCCATCATCATAATAGCTAAAGAAGGGTGATATTTGTGGAATAAGACTCTAATTGTTCTATACATTATTTGTATGACATAGGACTGGACAACTTTCTAAAGCTACTTTATAATTATTAAATATCTTGGTTTTAAGGAGACCACAGGAAGGGAATTAATCTAGCCAGTCAGCAATGCATTCAGGTGTACAAAAATATTAAAATGTCCATGAAATTTGCAAAGGGAATTCTTACTGACCAACTATCTTTTAATTATTCCTATTTATGTTATGATTGAAAATAATATTCCATGAACACCCTTGGAACTCAGCTTCTTTCCTATGTTTCTTTTAACTAGTTCCTTTATACTGGAAACATTGGCAATAGAAATTGTGAAACCAACCATTCTAAATTCCATCTTTGGCCTTGTCTATGAGTCAGATGTATACTGCATAGTCAGAACCTTTGGATTATGAGTGTCTATTGATTTCCATTCAATCTATCCATGGTAAAACTCAAATTGGAAATCTTTAGGTTGTGATTCACAATGTTGGCAACAAAGAGGAATCCAATATTAAATTCTCTTTCCTAAACTGAATTCTTGGGGAATACATGTTTCTGTTGTCTCGGGATACTAAAAATGTTCCCTAAGTTTGTTCCACCTTCCAGGGTAACACAGAACTATATTTGCAATCATTATTGATTTTGCTTTTTACCTACAACTCAGCTATTCTTCAAGAAGGAGATAATTTTTAATTTTGAAATTACATCATATAGTAATTGCTATATAAAATTAGATAAGATAAGATATGGATAAAAATGAATTTCCCCTAATTGTGTGCTTACATTTAATTTGTATTAACTCTATTAACTCTATCAACATGAATAGAATGGCATCAACTTAGAAAATACTTGGAAACCAAAATATTGGAACAATACAAACCCAACACATTTTTATATGATGAAGGTCAGGATGATCTTTTCCTAAATTGAGAAGAGAGCTCCTCTGCATTTTATACATATACTGATCTATGAGGTCACAAAAGTAAAGCTGACAGGATATCAGTTAGATAGACTGCCAAGTAGCCAGATGCTAGTGTCAGAGGAACATGCTCCATAGCATTGCTTTTGGCATCTGGATTATCCAATGTCCTCCAAGATGGAAGAGAAGGAAGAGTGACAAGCTACCTAATATGATAAGTGATAAGGTAAGCCTTTTCTGCCTTCAATTCCAGGACTTTCTCTTACACATAAAACACTCTCACTCTCCTAACTTTGAAAATATTCAGATAGATATTCAACAAAATAATTCTAAAAGAAGGAAAACTAAATGATTTTATCTTGTTATTAAAATATTTAATATCTTATAAACCAAGATTGTTTGCAGTCTTTGCTAGAATATTCTAATACTGTGTGATATGATTTATTATTAAATGCATTCTGAGCCAGTGCCTCCTGTATACATATTTATTATTCTGTTCTATAAAATTACTAATCGATTTCATATTGATAGATCTTCCTATTTTATTATAAAAGAAATATCTGGGTGTAACTGTTGTTGTCCAGATATCATTCTTTCAAGCCCCTAGCCTAAGTTCTTGGGATCTTCAGAATTTGGACTATATTTATTCAAGAATGCTCAAACTACCACTTCTCTGAAATAAAGCTGAGATGTAACGAAGTACTTAAATTGATCTGGGTCCAATTAGGGAACCATTTTCACTAAATTTAATAATTTATGACAGAGTTCTATTAATGAAAAGCCTCAATATACAATGTTTTAAACATTTGCAGTAGCCATATTTGCCTCCAATGTTCTACTTCAAAAAACTTTTCTGGGTGAGGAATGGAATACTTTTTCACTTCTATTATTGCACAATAATTAGAATATGCCTACTGAATAGGGGAACAAAGCTATTGCAATTTTAATTATTAAGACTTTGGCTATCAAGGGCTATCTCTCTGTAAGCAGAGACAGCACAGCAGTGGGATTGCCAGCCAGGTTAAATGAGGGGATCACCTACTTGTGCTCAGAAGAACTGCTTCTCATAAGAAGACCACAGGAATTTAATTATTGCAGTTGCCAGAGAGTCAAGGGGCTTGGGAGCCAAAGGATTTATAATGTACCCTCAACTGCTGTGCGGTTAAGGGTACAACAGAGAAAGCTTGTTGTGAAAACTGATAAAAGCCTTACTTCTTAAACATTTTATGATGTAATTAATTTACAACATAAGAGAGATATTCAAAATGGCAGTGAAGGTTGAAGATTTTGGTGAGTTCAGGGAAGAATTTTAAAAATCTCAAGAGATGACAACTATTATTCAACAAATCAAGCTTTAACAGAGGAAACAATGAGATGGAAATAAAGATATAAACTATATAAAAAATATAAATGTTGAATTTGCAAATAAATTGGGGAGGCATACAAATTGTAAAAAGAAAAAAGAAACTATTATTAAAGTTAGAACAAAGGAATATTGTAATAACAGTTAATGCAAATATTGAAAAAAAAATGTTTCATCAGTATTATATTACTTTATACAAAGGTCAAGGAATTTCTTCAGAAAAAGTGAGTGAATATTTACCTAAACAGAATTTACCAAAGATTACACTCAGAGACAAATTTTGAATTGACCTATAATAATAAAGGAGCTGTGAAGCTACAAAAAGATTAAAACAGGTAAAGTACTTAATACAGATGAGTTGATGGCCTCCTATGGTACTATAAATGTTTTGAAGATGAGCTTTTACAATCTTTACAACAAATGATGAATATCATTTTATAGGATGAAAAGATTCATGATGGAAAGAGGAAATATTAATATAACATTAATATCTAAACATGGACAAAATGCAAAGGAAAGAGGAGGTTTTGAAGTTGTATTTTGCTGGGGATTTTTATTGCTCTGGATGGGGGGAAATGGCTTTTACAGTTAAAAGACCATGACCAGAGATTTGGATGGAATGGATATTTATGGTAAGATAAAATTAAAATTAATGTGGACTTTAAAAATCTTATTAGAAGTGCAGCATTGAGAATATGGAACAGATATAAACCCAGGTTGTGCCAGAACACAACTTTAGGATCTCAGCTCAAGAAGCATATCATAATAGAGAACTGGCAGACAAAAATAAACGATAGATGTACGTACTATGGCCTTCTTAGAAAACCACCAAGGGGGATTTAAAATTAAACCAAGAAAACAATTAATAGCAAAAGGATGTAGGTGTCAATAGTTCTAACATTTTCAATTATCTGAAAGATTCAAAATGGATTTAAAATATGGAGGAAAATAAATCAGAATTTGAAATATAATTATTTACTGATGAAGAATTATACATGAAAATATATGTTTTGTTGAAATCTGAAACAGATATTTATAAAATGATATATCACTGGTACATAATGTCAGAGAAATTATCTACATTTTATCAGGCTAGGTGGATGTATTAAAATAGCTTTAAAAATTAATTGAAATACATGCTTTGATTCAGAGGATTTTAAAGTCAGTCAGTCAGTCAGTCTGTCTGTCTGTCTGTCTGTCTCTCTCTCTCTCTCTCTCTCTTTTTATCTATCTAATCTATCTATCTATCTATCTATCTATCTATCTATCTATCTATCTATCCTATCTATCTATCTATCTATATCTATCTAGTTTCCATCTCATAAAAAGTGACTCCGGGCATGTACCTTAATCAAATAAAAGCTGTACATTTCCACCCCAGGCCACCCAACGATGCCCTTGAAGTGATGTCCCAGTGCCTGGAGGCTGTACGGATCTGGATGGGGAAACAGGCTCAGCTCAACCCTTCCAAGACTGAGTGGCTGTGGTTCCCGGCATCCCGATATAGTCATTGACTCCATCACTGACTATTGGGGGCGAGTCTTTGGCCCCCACAGAGAGGGCTCGCAATCTGGGAGTCCTCCTGGATACACAGCTGTCCTTGGAGGAACATCTGACGGCTGTAACCAGGGGACCTTTTATCAGGTTCGCCTGATCCGCCAGTTGCGGCCCTTTCTTGATCGGGATTCCTTGTGCACAGTCACTCATGCCCTCGTGACCTCTCGCCTTGATTACTGCAACTCTCTACATGGGGCTCCCTTTGAGGAGCACCCGGAGGCTCCAACTGGTCCAGAACGCAGCAGCGCGGGTAGTGACGGGAGCAGCGTGGCGCTCCCATGTAACACCGCTCCTGCGTGAACTGCACTGGCTCCCGGTGGTCTTCCGGTGCGCTTCAAGGTGTTGGTTATCACCTTTAAAGCGCTCCATGGCATAGGGCCTAGCTATCTTCGAGACCGCCTACTGCCACCGACGACCTCCCACCGACCCGTGCGCTCCCACAGAGAGGGCCTCCTCGGGGTGCCATCAGCCAAACAATGCAGGCTGGTGACCCCCAGGGGGAGGGCCTTCTCTGTGGGGGCACCTACCTCTGGAATCAGTTGCCCCCTGAGATAAGAGAATCCATGACCTCAGTGCCTTCCGCCGTGCCCTTAAAACTTCTTTTTTCAACAAGCCGGGCTGGCCTAATTTCTTTTTAGGGTTTTATTAATTGTTCTGTTTTGCTGATCGTTTTTAATTAACGGGGCCAAATCTATATATTTTTTAAATGTGTTTTAATATTTGTATCTGGTGTTTTTATCTGGCTGTTCACCGCCCTGAGTCCTCAGGAGAAGGGCGGTATACAAATTCAAAAATAAATAAATAAATAAAATAAAAATCCACATTAAATTAAAAATATACAAACTCTAGGCAAAGAGAGGATAAGAATCGCTACCTCAGCAATGAAACCATCAAAGCATGCTTCTGGTTCCCCGGGAACCCCTGATTACCTAACTAAGTCTTGAGGGATCTGCGGAATGTCAAAAAACATAGAGCTAAACTCAGAGGGAAGAATGTTCCATAAGGCAGGCACAATAATGAAGGTGGCAAATATCCTGGAACCATCAAAGGCATATCCCTAGCTGATGGTACCCCCAACATGTCTTCTCTGCCAGATCTAATGGGATGAGTTGATATAACTGGTGAAAGATGATTCCTTTTATAGCCTCATCCCATGCTATAAATGATTTTAAAGATCAGCACCTTGAATTGGACCCTGATGCAAATGGACTTGCAGAACAGACATGTGACATGTGTTCTTCTATGAGGTCACATAACTGCTTGCCCCATTGCATTCTATACCAGCTGAAGCTGCCAGATTCTCTTCAAGAGTGTTCAATTGAAGTCAGAACTTTTTTTTTAGAACTACTGGATAAGCAGAAAAAATGCCATGGAGAATTATTTCAATATATGATTATTGAGGTGTGATTACTATAGTATATGAATAGAGAAGCGAAGATTCAACTCTGTGGAAAGATAGCTGGTGTCTGATTTTGCTGAAATGGATAAATTATTTCTTTGATTAGAAAAAAGGCACCATCTACATTCATTGGTGGCTGGGAGTTCTGAGGGACTTTCTTGCATAAAATGAAAAAAGTAAACTTGTTAGTTATGATTTTGATGCTAGATAGCATAGTTTATAGAAAGAAGTATCATGTAAACTTAGAGAATTAAAATATATTTGTACTTATAACTGCTATGAAGACTATCAAAAGCCACTTTTTCTTTTCTATTTTTCTTCAATTTTTTTCTTTTCTTGCATTTGTCTTTTGTCTTTGATTTCTTTTTCATTTTTTCCTTATTTTATATTAATTTGTAATCATTTTATATTGTTTTAAAAGATACATACATACATACATACATGTGTGTGTGTGTGTGTGTATCCTATATCTCATATATATCTATATCCTATATATCCTATGTAACCTATATATTCTCTCCCTCTCTCTCTCTCTCTACACACACACACACACACACACACACACACACACACACACACACACACATTAAGTGTTTTTCTATCAAGACACCTGGTCTACCCCAGCATGTGGGAGGGAGCATACTGCATCCCTTTTGCCTTTCAGCTCCAATCCAGGAGCCCTCAAACAGTCGCATTCTTTATCATTATCTTTATCTTTATTCAAATTTCTATACCGCCCTTCTCCTTTCGGACTCAGGGCGGTGAACAGCCAAAAAATAAAACATTTTATATACAAAAGTTAAAATAAATTTAAAATAATTAAATAAATTTGGCCCATTAATTTAAAACATTCCAATTAAAACCATATCAAAATTATTTAAAACCAATCATAAAATCAGGACAGCCCAGCTAACTGAAAAAAATAGGTTTTGAGAGCCTGACGAAAAGTCCGGAGGTCTGAGATCACTCGTATCTCTGGGGGTAGATTGTTCCAGAGGGTGGGTGCTACCACAGAGAAGGCTCTCCCCCTGGGGGTTGCCAGCCGACATTGCCTGGCTGACGGCACCCTGAGGAGGCCCTCTCTGTGGGAGCGAACTGGCCGGTGGGAGGCAACTGGTGACAGGAGGCGGTCCCATAGATACCCCGGCCCTAAGCCATGGAGCGCTTTAAAGGTGATCACCAACACCTTGAAGTGCACCCGGAAGTCCACCGGGAGCCAATGTAGCTCGCACAGGAGAGGAGTCACATGGGAGCGCCCCGTCGCTCCCATAATCCCCCGTGCGGCCGCATTCTGCACCAGTTGGAGCCTCCGGGTGCACCCCAAGGGGAGCCCCATGTAGAGAGCGTTACAATAGTCCAGACGAGAGGTGACGAGTGCCTGAGTGACCGTGCGTAGGGCGTCCCGATCCAGAAAGGGGCGCAACTGGCGTATCAGGCGGACCTGATAGAAGGCCCCCCTGGCCACGGCCATCGTATGCCCTTCTAAAGACAGCCATGCGTTGAGGAGGACACCCAAGTTGCGAGCCCTTTCCGTGGGGGCCAATGATTTGCCCCCAATAACCAGCGATGGCGCCAGCTGGCTATACTGGGACACCGGCAGCCACAGCCACTTGATCTTGGAAGGGTTGAGTCAGACCCTGTTTCTCCCCATCCAGACCTGCACGGCTTCTAAACACTGGGACATCACTTTCAAGGCATCATTGGGATTGTCTGGGGTGGAGATGTACAGCTGAGTATCATCAGCGTACTGATGGAACTCCACCCCAAAACCACGGATGATCTCACCCAGCGGCTTCACATAAATGTTGAACAGGAGGGATGAGAGGATCGACCCTTGTGGCACCCCACAAACAAGGCGCCTCGGGGTCGACAAACCATTTTATACCAAATTTATATTTTGCTGATAAGGCAAAAGGGATGCAGCATGAAACCGAAGACACCAGCCTGAAGATGACGAGTGGGACCTTGTCGAAACGTCGCCAAGGTACTCTCAATCTTACACGGGAAAAGACCCGAATACGCCAAGACTTGCATACCTGTACCTGTGAAAATCTACAAAAACATACATGTGTGTGTGTGTGTGTGTGTGTGTGTGTGTGTGTGTGTGTGTGTATTTCTCTTTAGCCAGGTTCTTCTTACGTAAACCAAGATTTTTATGCAGCCCTAGTTTAGTGAAATCCCAATCCACTAGTTTCTAGGCTTTTTTTCCCCCCAGCAGCCAGCAAACACCCTGCTGCCCATTGGGAGACTAAGGAGACTAAGATAGATCTATTTCAGATTTATAAGCCCTCATCAGTTAGCCACACCTTCATCCCATGTATCCTCCCTGTAAAGGTAGATTTAAAGTGCAGATAGCAGTCTGCATGCACTCTCACACCATCTACCAGAAGAAAACACACACAAACCGCTATCTGCACGCACTCTCACACCACCACCCAGCACAGATCAACTCTGTAGCCAAGACATTCATCTCCAGAACAAAATGCTTAGCTGATGAACAACACCTAAAAACTGAACTACATACTCTCAGTAACGTACTAACATCCAACGGATTCCAAAGAAACAAGATTATCAACCTAATCCAAAAAGAGACACCCACTAAAATCCAAGACAAAGAACCAGAAAACGTCAAAGCCCTCCTCCCATACATAAAAGGCACCACAGAATCAGCAAGATCCTTCACAAACACAACATCAAGACAGCATTCTGCACAAACCGAAAAATATCCACCATCCTAAGAAACCCCAAAGACAAAATGGAGTTAGAAAATCAAGGAGTATATGAAATCCCATGCACCGCCTGCCCCACCACATACATCAGACAAACCAACAGAAGAATAAATGCATGCATTGAAGAACACAAAAACTCAGTCAGAAAAGAGGAACCAACTTCTTCTCTAGTTCAACACCTTAAAGCCACAGGACATGAAATTGATTTTAAAAAAACCAGAACTATCACCAAAACCGAACACTTTAACAACAGAATAATCAGAGAAGCCATCAAGATAGAAAAACGTCCCCACAGCATGAATAAAAGAGATGATACCTCCCGCCTACCAGCCATTTGGAAACCCGCCCTTATTGACAAACGAATCCCTAACACAAAGAATAACACCAGACCCACACTCATGAAAACCACACAGGACGTCACCTTCACACATCCATGCAAAAAGCAAGCCCAAACCCACACCGATGATGAGGCACGACCACAAACCAGAAGCCAGACCACAGCTGCATCATTAACCACCCCGCCAATCCATATATGAAGCAAACTGACACACACCATGAAGATGTAGCATGACCACGAATGCAGCTACATCATCAGCCAATCAGAATACAACGGCACTGTTGACCAATCAGAATGCACCTTTGCCTCTTTTCATAGAAAAACGTCAGTTACGTTCACACAGTTTGCCCATAAGCACCAAGCCGAGAACTTTAGCCAGAAGATGACAAATGTGATTTCGTCGAAACGTTGCTACTATCCTTTTAGGGATATGTTTACAATTACACAGGAAGAAACCCGAGATATTAACTGTACACTCATATATATCCGTGAAAACTTACATAAACACACACACACACATATATATATATGCAAGTCTTGGCGTATTTGGGTCTTTTCCCGTGTAAGATTGAGAGTATCTTGGCAACATTTTGACAAGGTCCCACTCGTCATCTTCAGGCTGGTGTCTTTTAAAAAAACTGTCTTACAGAGGGATAAAACCACAATAAATGATGGTTATGTTTGAGATGCAAATATGAGAGATATTTGAATAATATTTTAATTTGCTATTAATTAAACAATGTATGGGTAGTAGTCTTTCTTGCGTTGGCTTTTAGCTAGGTCAAATAAAATTTTACATGATAAACTTGCTTTAGTTTTAAAAACACTGATTGGAGCTCAAATTGAAGTGACACTTGAGTTTTCACAGATGTTACTAGAATCCCAATTATAAATTATGAAAAAATGCACTTTCCCTTGAACTTCCCGACCAATGTAAATGCAATTGTTTTCCAATATTATTCAATTATTTTCAATTCCTTTTTAGCTAGTATTGGAGAGAAATAAGACATGTATCTTATTAAGACTTTCACCTGCATTGGAAATAATTTTTCCAGAAGTTATGAATATATCTGAACTTGGTGTCAGATATGAACCAATATATATTTACACATAACCATTTGTGCCAGAATGCATGGGAATAAATAACTGATTGTCCATTAAAATGCTCAGCTCACAGAAAACCAAAGAAGAGTGCTAAACAAATAAATACATTTTAATTCACTCCTAGAAATTTTATCGATGTATAGCTGCAGTCTAGTCTAGAGAAAGACAAGTTACTGATCAATAGTTGACCTGAGGCAGATTCATCAGAGGTGTATAGCAGTCTTTCCCCAATTCATGTCCTTCAAAGATTCATGATTACAAACTTCTATAAAACCAACCAGCCTCCTAGAGAAGGCTGAGACATTAAGGACAGGTAATACTCCACTTTGGCATTCATACATGATAAACAAGAGCTAAAGTAAGAGTATTACATTTGGATCATATCTATGGATATTTAATTATCCAATCCATTTGTAATATCAGCCTTTTCATTTCCAAACCATAAAAAGGTAGCAATTTTTTAAAACAATAACACTGAAATAAAGAGTTATCTAAAACCAGCATTAATAATCTGCCTAGCTTCCTTCTGTCTGACAAGTCATAATTTTAATGTGTCTATTTACAGTCATTCACAAATAAGGAACCCAACTACAGTAATCAGGTAATATTTTATTTTATTTATTTATTTATTGCGATTTATATGCCGCCTTTCTCCCTAGGGACTCAAGGCGGCTTACAAAATGACAACTTCAATACAAATCACAATACAATACCAAATTAAAATCAGTAACCCAATTAAAAAATGATTTAAAATTATACCAGTGTACCCCCAAACGGATCAGTTTAATTGGCGGAAGAGCCACGTCTTCAGCTCGCGACGGAAGGAAAGAAGGTCGGGGGCTGTCCTGAGCTCAGTGGGCAATCCATTCCAGAGGGTCGGGGCTCCCACAGAGAACGCCCTCCCCCTGGGGGTCGTCAGCCAACATTGTTTGGCCGACGGCACCCTGAGGAGGCCGACTCTGTGAAAGCGCACAGGACGATGGGAGAACGGCTGGAGATGGTCCCCCAAGTACCCCGGGCCTAAGCCATGATATCATAAATGGAGATTCAATATCATAAATGGAGATTCAAAGAAGAAAAAATAAAAAATAAACCACAGTCAAATTGAAACCAAAACCTTCCAAATGGCAATTGCAGTTGAACAAAGTTTTGCTGCTACTAGTAAATTGATCTACTAATTTTTAAAAAATACATTCCTTCTTTTCAAGCCAGCCCAATTTCTTAGAAGGAAGAACAAAAGGTCAACCAGTATATAAAGGACAACATAACAACCTGTTCCCCACTCCCCAATCCGTGGACCAGCACTGGTCTGCAGCATGCCAGGAACCAGTCCATGCAAACATGCAAAGCCCCATCCACAGGATGCAGGCAGCACACAAAACCATGCCCTTTTATTCCACAGAAAAACCTTTATCCATGGAACCGGTACCTGGTGCCTAAAAGTTTAGGGGCCAAGGCTGTAGACAACTATTTTGATAGCTTAATCCAAGCACAGACATGGAATGCAAAACCAGGATATTACTGTATTCTAATATTCCAGACCTAAGTTATGAAACTTTATCTGAGTGAAGGATTACTTTTACTAGAGTGAAGATCAGATGAGATATTAAACTGATATTTTGGTAAGGAGAAAGACCAAATAGGCTTCTATGTTAATGAGTCTTTCTCCTTTTAAATCCAGATCACATTTTCCCTTGAAACTCTTCAAATGACTGGGAATGAATGAATGAAATGATGCACAGTTGGACTTATTTTGAAAAAGCACAGAGAAAAATAACCTAGGGAAAGAAAAGAAATAATTTTAAAAATCTACTCAGTTTCAGACCAACATCCTTTTATTTAAAGGCTAAGTATTATAATCACTGTGCTGTTACAGCATTCCTGGCAAAGGTAGCTCTGAGATAAATTAGAGACCATGATAACTATTGATTCCATTGTCAGACTGATCCTGCCTCTGTAAAACTTGAACTTCTGGGGTGGGCCTATTATAAAGTAAAATACACCAGCCAAAATGGACAGGTTCACTTTGGATGACACAGAGAGAAAACTGTATTTTAAAATTGCAGCAGGAAGACACAACCAGAGATTGCATTTGGGATAAGTAGAGGATTACTACAGAGCAAAACCATCCTTGACTGTTTTCCAAAATATTGCTAGCCTATTCTGGTATCAGGCAGTGTAGATGAAACCTAAGTATAAAATTTTGCCTGTTTTAACTGAGTCTATCATGTGAGTTCCATAAAAAGACCTTGTAATGTGTAATGGAGAAAATGAAACTATTAAAAGAAATTCAAGAATTAGCTTTAGTTATGATGCATTGCTTTACCATCAAAATGGAATTATTAACCCTAGTAGATGAATCTCAACATTTCTCACTCATCTGCATTGGCTGAAAAGTGCTGATTTGTAATTCACCATGTTACAACTCTCTGTTTTGAGTTTGTCAGATGTAAATGCCTTATTCCCTAATGTGTAAATAATGTATATATGGGATATCAGGGGTTAACTTATTCTTTGACTCTTAATGTATTCATAATTCACCACTCCCACTCTTGGCTCCACCCTTTGTATATATAAGGAGCCACCTTCACCATTTTCTTTGCTTCTATCTGTGAATATTCAGTGAATATAGAATGCCTATTATAATTAAAGAGAAATATATTTAAACCTCTAACTCTCATTATTATTATTGAGTCTGATCCTAAAAATATTGCAACAAACTGGTAGCAGAGGATGGTTAATTGACTCAATAAATACCTAAAAATGTCTAAGAAAGATAGGCCCAACACCAGGGCCTACAGCAAAGAAATAGAAACTGAACAAAAAATAATCAACGAATCCACAAACGCGATTTCGAGAGAATCCGAAGAATACACCACTGAAGAAGAAGAATTAATAAATGAAAATGATGGCCAGGAGGAAATCGAAATAGAAAATAACGAACTCAGGTCAGAGATATTGAAGTTATTAAAAAGCCAGAAGAATGATGAAAGCCTCATCGCGAACCTCCAAGAAATGCTGAAGAACAGCGGAGCAGCGAGAGAGAAAAACATCGCTAAAGAGAAACCCAAAGACCAAAAAACTGTGAGTGATATGACTACAGAGAAAGTCGTTATGAAAAAGAAAAAATGTGATCCCGCGCGAAATTTTGAATGGCAGCCATCTTGGTTTCAACAAGCCTCCAAAGTGAGCGAAGCAGAGCCAATCAAAATGCTCAGTTCAAAATTTCTGGCGCGAAAAACGTTATCAAACAACGAAAGTGAAAAGGAGGATTCAAACTCTTCGGAAGAGCCAGAATCAGAAAATGAAGACGACTTAACGAAATCCCAAGTAAAGTCAGCAATGAAGACGCTTTTTGCTGCATTTGGGCCAAAATTAAAAATTTCCAAAGCGCCAACGAAGAAGCAAGCGAACAAGCCGATACTTCAAGACCTGCACGCTCCCATCCTGACTTCGAGAACGACGACGCCCGAGCCCAGAGAGCCATGTCGATTCCGCCCTACACCGCAGACCGAAGCAAGTGCCAACGCACCCAAAAGAAAGAGAAGAACAGTCGCCGCCATCAGAACTCCTAAGACCGAGCCAGAGACCGACTCGTCTGAAGAGGAGCGGAGCGAGCGAGCTACAATGGAGAGAACCTTCCACGACGACGTCAAAGAAGAAATGAACAACGCGCATGTGCGAAACTACGTAGACGGTCCGGAAAGACTTGAACTGGCCAGAGAACCGCGCAGACTCGTTGCGAGCATCCCCATGCCGTTTTGCAATTTCCTACACTTGCGAGACCACGGACTACCTCAGGTTGTAAGTAATGGACAAAATAATGTGGGAAACTTACCCAGTGACTTCCCAAAACTTAGGGTTGATGGCATTAATTTGCAAGAATGGTATCAACAGCTCCAGGTTGTCTTTATGAAAGAAAATTTACTATTTTTTATCACTAGTCCCCCAAGAAGACCTTGGACTTTAAAAATAGATTGTCTACACCATAAGGCATTTTTCTTAATAATATCTAGCGTGTCTCCTGCAATGTATCATAGCATCAAACCAAATCTAACTGTTTCAGAAATAATTCAATGCATGTTTAATTTGTTTCACAGCGATAGTGTAGCTACCACCACAAGAATGTCTAAGGACTTCTTTTCTTCCAGAGTAAAACCAGGGGTTTCCATAAGTGAGCATTTAATATCTTTAAACAAAATAAGAGCTGAGCTGCATTTGAGGGGGGAAGTGATTTCAGATCAAACAATGAAAAGTGTTATTATCAACTCACTTGATTCATCATGGGATAGTTTTATGTCACACTTAGACACCATCAATCTAGGATATTTATCAATAGAAAGTCTGTCTAACAAATTGATAGCAGAAGACAATTCAAGAAAAAATCGTTATAGCAATCACACAGAACACAAATCTTTTAGGAAGGTAGCTTTCCAAGAAAAATATAATGAAACTTTTAAATGCCACAATTGTGGGTCCAGGGAACACAATAGAAGAGATTGTCCCAAAATTTCAAAGGAAAGACATAGGTCAGAATATAGGAATAAATACAACTATAGACAGTCTTCCACAGATAGACATAAATATAGAAGCCCACCAAATTACAGAGAAAGTAGAGGGGGCAGAGAAAATTCAAAAGAGAGAAAATCTGGTTCACTGAATGGACTAAATAAACAAGACAGCACTAAAACGCAACAAAATGAGAACAATAATTGGCTTATTGATTCTGGGGCAACTAATCACACCACTAATAACAAAAATATATTGTCTTCATTTACAGAAGATAAGTTTGTAATAAAGGTAGCTAATCAAGAAAAAGTTCAAGTATTAGGCAGAGGGAATGTGACCTTGCCTGGTCTAGGAAAAATAGAGGGGGTATTGTTAATACCAGAAATACCTCATAACATACTAAGTGCCATAAAACTAAGCAGAGATTCTGACATCAATATAGTTTTCTCAAAGGGAAAAGCAACTTTAGAGAAGAATAAAACAAATGTAGGCACTGTGATGATTAAAGGAGGCCTACCCTATCTGATAACAAAAGAAAGATGGTTACATAACATTGATTCAAATATGGAAGATTGTATTGAGGCAGATGATGAAAATATTAGTAACAGTGACAATGATGAATGTAAAATATCTCATGATCACACAGATACACACAATGAGAAGAAACCAAAAATAGGTAAACCAATTCATGACGAGTGTGCTCATATCTTACATAGGAAGTTAGGACATGCAAGTTTTCCTGTAGTACAAAAAATGACTGAACACGCAGAAGGTGTCAAAATAAAAAATTGTGAAAATTATTTGGAATGCTCAGTATGTAAATCTACTAAACTAAAAACTAGTCCCAGGCCAAAAAAATCCACCAGATCAACTAACAAAATTTTTGACTTAGTACACATGGACTTAGTTGGCCCATTAACTCCATCAATCACTTATAGAAAACGTTACTTCCTAACAATAGTAGACGATTACAGTCGCTATGGTTTTGTTTACACATTAAAACACAAGGATGAAACCTTTCAAAAATTTAAGGAATTTTACAAACGCATAGAAACACAACATAATATCAGAATAAAACAAATTATGACAGATAGGGGATGTGAATTCATGTCTAAAGAATTCTCCCAATGGTTAAAGGATAGAGGAATGCTACATTACACGTCTAGTCCATTTTCTGCGTTCCAGAACGGGATTGTAGAGAGAAAGAATTCCACATTACAAACCATGATTAGGTGCACATTAGAGGATGCTGGTTTAGGCAAACAATTTTGGTCAGAAGCCCTACATTATTCAAATTACACTCAAAATAGAACCTGGTCCAGTATTGTGAATAAGACACCATATGAGGTGATGTATAATAGGAAACCAAAATTAGCACACATGCACATATTTGGGGTCACTGCAGACGTACACATACCTAAACAGTTGAGAAGAAAGGGAGAAAACGTATCCAGAAGACTAAGATTTATGGGATATGAAACTGGCACCAAAGGGTACAGATTCATTGATAATAATAATAAATTTATAGTTTCCAGAACAGCTGTGTTCCATGAACAGGCCAACTGGTCTAAATTACATCTTAATGAAATATTTCCAAATAAATGCAAAGATACCAAATCTCGTGAGGAAGGGACAATAGAAAATCAAAATGTCAACAAAAATAAAAACAAAACCAAAACATGGACAAATAGTCAACACAAAATAAAGACAGACACATTAACAAAAAAGGAAGCAAGATATTTGCATGACTACCATAGCAAACCAGAAAGAGCTATTAGGAACAACAGAAATCAAATACCAAGTAAATACAGAGATTACATAATGCATATGGATGGTGAACAAATAACACCTAATACATATGAGGAAGTATTAAAACTCCCTCGTGAAGAAAAGGAAAAATGGGAACTAGCTATGAAAAAAGAGATGGAAAGTTTGCAAGGATTAAATGTATTCACACCTGCGATTGCACCTAAAGATAAAACAATTATTGGTACCAGGTGGATTTATAAAATTAAGAACCTAGAAGGAGGCAATACCTTATACAAAGCTAGATTGGTTGCACAAGGTTATGCACAAAAATATCCGGAGGACTATACTGACACATACTCCCCCACAGTAAGAACAGAGAGTGTTAAAACAGCTCTAGTAGTAGCATCCGCACTCAATCTTGATGTATTTCAATATGACATACAGACTGCGTATCTACACGCAAAACTAGATAAGGAAATATATGTAAGAGCACCTCACAGTCAATACACTAATAAAAATGAAATTTGGCTATTGAACAAGAGTTTATACGGATTAAAGCAATCTGGCAAAAGATGGTACGATTGCTTGGTAAAAGTACTTAAGACCATGGATTTCAACGCTACCACTGCTGATAACTGTTTCTTTGTCAAAAAGAGTGATGATCACATTGAATTTGTATTGATTTATGTAGATGATATTTTATATATAGGAAAACACAAAGAGAGAAGAGAAATCTTTGTAAACAAGTTAAATGAACATTTCTCGTTGAAATCTCTAGGTAAAGTAAACAAATACCTTGGTGTACAAATTAACAAAACTAGAAGGGGATTCAAACTTACTCAGAAAGATAAGATTATTGAACTTCTAAACAAATGCAATTTAAACAATGCCAAACCCTGTGACACTCCTATGCAAACTGATTTCCTTAGAAATACTGATGAATCTTCCCCTGAATTCAAGGATAATACATTTTATAGATCAGTCATAGGTTCACTTCTTTATATATCTAATTGGACCAGGCCAGATATTGCATTACCACTCAATTTATTATCAAGGCACGTTAGCAAACCAACAATGTATCACTGGGAAGCTGTCAAAAGAATTTTAAGATATCTGAAAAGTACATTAGACTTTTGCCTAGTATTAGAACCTAGTGATAATAAAGAACCAAGACTTACATGTTACGCAGATGCGGATTGGGCTGGAGATATATCATGCAGAAAAAGTACTTCTGGTTATATTTTTCTGTTAAATGACTGTCCAGTTTACTGGTACACTGGTAAACAAGAACTGGTAGCCACTTCAACCACAGAAGCGGAATATGTTTGTTTATCCAAAGCTGCAAATAACCTTGTATGGTTTAATGATTTAATTTCAGATGTTTGGAAAAAACCTGCTTTGCCTTTTGTTATGCATGAAGACAATAAAGCGGCCATTGAAATATCTAGATCCGATGCCATTGGACAAAGATCCAGGCATATAGATATAAAATTTAAACATGTGAGACAATTGTCTCAAGATGGATTTATCAAAGCAGTGCATTGTGATACCTCTGAACAATTAGCTGACATATTGACGAAGCCTTTACCTTCTAAACAGCACAAATACTTAACTTCCAAATTGTATGTCTTATATTGTCCTGAATCTGAATGTAATTGGTGTTGTATAGCGAACCGGCATTTAGAGGGGGATTTGTCAGATGTAAATGCCTTATTCCCTAATGTGTAAATAATGTATATATGGGATATCAGGGGTTAACTTATTCTTTGACTCTTAATGTATTCATAATTCACCACTCCCACTCTTGGCTCCACCCTTTGTATATATAAGGAGCCACCTTCACCATTTTCTTTGCTTCTATCTGTGAATATTCAGTGAATATAGAATGCCTATTATAATTAAAGAGAAATATATTTAAACCTCTAACTCTCATTATTATTATTGAGTCTGATCCTAAAAATATTGCAACAGAGTTCATTTGATGATGATATTGCATCATACTCATCCTTTGTTGTTCTGAAAGAATAGCCTCAACCTTTTCTTTATTACAAGTGAGATATTCTTATGAACCAAATTATTAAAACTGTTTCATATTTGCTACTGGATACACCTGTCTGAAATAAATCTATCCAAGAGTAATAAGCACAACACAGATGTTAACTGCACCACACCCTAATTCAAGGTTCTGAGTCAAGCTCTTTGGTGCTGAATTCTCACTTCAGAGTGCCAGCTAGCTTATCTGCAGCTATCATACTTTCTCATAGGCACAAAGTACTGTGGTGCAGGGCCCTATATATGTTTGTTGACTCAGAAGCCACATTTAACTTAAAAGGTTATGCCTCTAAAAAATCAGCTTAAAATAACCAAGTTACAAAGGAAGAACGAGGAACACATTGTCTGTGTGTGGTCATCTTTGCAGATAGTCATTCCCAGGTTTAGTATGGACCTCCAACCTGAGACAGCCCCTGCCTGAAATCCAACACTTTCCATTTGGTGAGTTGAATTTGGTGGCAGAACTTGTATTTTCTTTCTCTCTTTTGTGACTTTGTCTGAAGACTTTAGAGATAAATCCAGCTAGCATGGTTACTGTTCAGCAGATTCAATGTATTTTATTTTATTTATTTAATGTTTATTTATTTATTTAAAAGATTTGTATGGCCACCCATCATAAACAACTCAATTAAAGAATTGCTGACAGATCCTGAATGCCAACTTCAACTGAAGGTGACTTCAAACAAAATACTCCTTCATTAAAAACAGCAGCATAATTATAATAATAAAAGTAGCAGTACCATTGCATGTTCTATTAATTATGTTAGTTATCAAGACAATTATTTGTTCACAAGGCATAATGAAGCTCCAAAATATTTTTGTTAAAGTTCTCCATTTTGTAACGATTGTAATCAGCAAAAGCAGTGCCTCTGTTCCACATAACATTGATTTAAGCTTAATACTGATCTTATGTCATACTTAGCGTTACTTATTCCCTTAAGCATAAGATTAACCAGTGATCAGGTCAATAGACTTTTTAATAATATTGTTTTGCATAAAGTGCCCTATAGATTCCCTTCCCATCAAAGCATGTAATTCATAAAGAAATCAATAAATGCCAATAATCATAAGTATTGATCCGCAATCAAAATGGCATGTGTAAGGAACACCATGAAATTGCTTCAATTCATTGTTTCCATTTTATCTTATTAACATTCCTATCATTGAAAGGTAAGAAATTAAAGAAAACAAATGGCCTCACCTTGCACAATGAGGTGGGAGGATCAAAAGTTCTACTTCCTTTTAGTCCCTATTGATTTTACAGAGATTTCTGTGTCTAAACCCAAACTCATATTTAGCTGAATCGCATGATAATCAGGTCAATGAGATTAAGGAGTGGGGGAACGATACAGCTCAAAAGAAAGTCAAAAGAAAAAGAGGCAAGTCAAAAGAAAAATTACTAAATGAAACAAGCTGTATTTCCTGTAAATGCCTACAGATATTAAGTGTAATTTTAGAATAATGTTTCCGCTTCAGTGTCTTTCTTTTGTGAAATATTGCACATTTACAGAAAGCTGTGTTTATCTTTCATGCATTGATGTATATAGTCATTTCAGAATTGAGCTGGTAACTCCATTTTGGGATTTTCTGTCATGGGAACTCATAGTCCCCCTCTTTCTCAAATTCAGATATTTTTTTAATGGTAGTAAAGTTTGTTCCCATTAAATCTATCACTTACTAGCTATCATATGCAATATTAAATAGGCAGGTTAAAAAATAGTTATAGTGGTAATAGTTTTTCTAGTAATACTTTTCTTTCTACTCATTCCTTTGTGCTCCAGATTCAATGAACAACCCACTTCAGTTATGTGATCTGAAATGTCTATTTCATCTTTAAAAATTTCTTTCACTACATTATTTATTTATTTATTTATTTATTTATTTATTTATTTATTTATTTATTTAATTGGCTGCCCATCAGGGGCGAGTTTCAAAACCCATCACTATTGGTTCACTCGTGGGTGTGCGCACATGGGTGGCCCGGGTGGGCAGAGCCTCCCGCCGCTACCAGTTTGCCCGATCCGGGGTGAACCAGTAGAAGCCACCACTGCTGCTCATCTTAACACAGGGTAACTCTAGGTGGTTTACAGTCATTAAAATGTATCTATACATGTAAATTAAAACATAAATAAATTAAAATGAAACCTTAAAATCTAACAGCATGTGGGTAGGGTGGAAAGAGATGGGATCTGTTGTTTCTTGATTAATCACCTCCACTGCACTATTCCCCCATTGGGATCCTAAGTCAATTTGCAAAGCCAAGTGTTTAGGTATTTACAAAAGGATAGGAGGTTGGGACCAATCTCACATTGTGGAGCAAGATGTTTCAGAGGGCAGAAGCAAGAATGGACTTCCGGACTCCGGCAGCCAGAATAATTGGCCTGATGGGACCCACAGCACACAAGTGGGATGGACCAATCCCAGTGGCATGAGATAGTCCCTCAAACAGCCTGGATTCATGCCATGAAGGACTTTAAAGGTGATTACCAGAACCTTGAATTGCATCTGGAAGCAGATTGGCAGCCAATGCAGCTGAAAGAGCAGTGGGGTTACAGGGGCCATTCTTGAAGCCCCCAAAACAGCCTGTCGCGCTGTACTCTGCATCAGTTGTAGCCTCTAAATGCTCTTCAAGAGTAGCTCCACGGAGAGCACAATATAATAGTCCAACTGTGAGATTACTAAGAACGACTGAGTGCAAGGAACCCTGATCCAAGAAAGGCCGCAACTGTGCATAACACAAAGTTATGCAAAGGTTCTACTAGCCATGACTGTCACCTGCTCCTCAAGCAGAAGTTATGAGTCCAAGACAACCCACAAGTTACAAATTGGATCTGTCTGGGGCAGTGCCCTCCATCCAGAGTCAAAGATGCAAAGTCACAGGTCCTGGAGCTCCATGTAACCAAAGCCATTTGGTTTTGCTAGGATTCAGTTGAAGCCTGTTGCCCCCATCCAGGCCCCCACAGACTCCAGGCACTGTGAGAGGGCAGCCACAATATCATTTGGATCACCAAGAGTGAAAACATAGAGGGGTGGGGAGGTTTTTTTTTGCCTTTGCCTTTGCCTTACTTGCAATGATCACTATGTATGCTATTTTTTCTCAAATTCTATCTCATCTTTTCTTCTAGGAACCCCAAAAGGCACAGATGTAGACCACCCTTTTAATGTTTATAACCTTAAGCCTGTAGGATAAGTTCCACTGATAGTGAGTATCTGGTCCAAAATTACTTTCAGAGCTTGTCCCTAGGCATGGTAATGAAACTCACTCTCAGAATGAAATTGACAGTGAAATATGCAAGGGCAAGGCTCGAATAAACAAATCACTTTATTTTGATAAAATATTTTTTTACAATACTTTTTAAGAACAAGGCTAGCTAGTGAGCAATCTAGGAATCTAGATGTATGTTTTAAAGCCTGCCTTTTTTTTACCCCATTCATAGACTAAGAGGTTGTTTATTGTTCATTATTTCTGAGAGCACCTACATCATTTTTAGGTAATAGTTTTTTCTGCTCTCAGACTCTTTACTTACTGACTTTACATTTACATTTCAGGGTTGAAAGAGAACTTTAACCGGGTCTCCTTGGTTCTAATCCAAATCCAAATGGTTTTGTCACAATGTTCTTCTCTCTGGGGCTCTCTCTGCTAATTTGATTGATTCTGAGGCCGGTTTGTTTTGGTTGGGAAGAGACAAAGAACTGTAGTTGATATAGACTTAAAACTCTGAGCAGTGGTAAAATCTAATTTTTTTTATTACCAGTTCTTGGTGGGCGTGGTGTGGCTTGGTGGGCATGGCAGGGGAAGGATACTGTAAGATCTCCAATCTCTCCCCACTCCTGGGGGAAGGATATTGCAAAATCTCCATTCCCATCCCACTCTGGGGCCAGCCAGAGGTGGTATTTGCCGGTTCTCCGAACTACTCAACATTTCCACTACCGGTTCTCCGAACTGCTCAACATTTCAGCTACCGGTTCTCCGAACTGCTCAAAATTGCTGCTACCGGTTCTTCAGAACCTGCTGGATTTCACCCCTGAGTCTGAGGCTCAGTATATATTCTTCCTTGGAGTCACTGATTTCCTATGTGCAACTTTGGTGTCAGAGTTTGGCTTGGCAACACAGCCCAGAATACAGACTTGGTCCATGGAGGATGTACCTATTTCTTCTCCAAATTTATATCCATGCTTCTTGCCTTTTTTTTTCTTTTTTGAGAATCTAATTGATTCTTCCAGTCAGAACTTTATCTTTATCTTTCTCTTCTCATTTGTTATTTCATCTTATATTTGTTTTGCAGTTTAATCCTCACCCTATACAATCAAATCACATAAATGTCCTTAAATTGGGTGCTCATTGTTGCATTTAATCGACATATATTTATCATTAATTCATTCTTGTCCAGTGATACTTCCATATAGCAAACTGCAAAAAAATACTACAGGCAACTGATTCCTTCAGTATGCGTTCTTTTAAATAATCCACTGCTAATTATGTTTCTACCAGTATTTGCATGTGTCAAAATTTCTTTATTCATTTTCTTATCATTAATAAGCATTCTACCAAGTACACAAATTCATTAATTTGCTATGACTTTTACCATGTATATGCAACTTGCAATCATTCACTCTGTTTTCTGTATCAAACATATAGTCTTTAATAGTTTCATTTTCAGTTTGATACTTCTCATCATATGATACTATTTAACAATAACAAAAAAATCATTTGGTTCTCAATTAACAACACATCATCATCTGCATTCCAAAGTACATGATTGTTACATTCCCAACAAATGCATACCTATAATGTCATCATACATTCTTTACACATTTATCCATAAACACATTAAAGAAATATGGGAATATCACATATTCTTGCCTTACCTCCTGAACCATTCATTAAGCATTCCATTTGTTTTCATTCATGCTTAACTGTTATTATATTCAGCTCTATATTTGCACAAACATTCCATTGCTGAAGACTATTCAGGTTATTGCATACTTCCCTAAATTAATAAATGTGAAATAATTTATGGAGAGCAAAAATTATCCCTACTTGCCTGTCATCTTCATATATTTATTTTACAAAATAGACTCTGTACTAATTTTACTAATTGGTTGCATTAATTTTACTCCTTTTTAATCTTTCAGTCAAAATTTTGCCAAATCCATTCTCAAGAAAATTTAACAAACTTATATTTTATTTTCTTCTAAAACTATTTTCTTCCAAGATCCATTCTTGATATTGTCAAAAAAACATTCTCTCTCCCATTCAGGACTTCTTTTCATTTTTATTATCTTGAACTAAGTCTTTAATCTTTCATTAGAAACAGTCAAATAAATTATGCTTTTAAAATTATATCCTTTCCTTTACTATGTGAATATGTCTGCATAAGAAAAATTTAAACTTTATATTATTTTCAAAACTAAGAGATCTTTTTCTCAACAATTCTTGAATTGTCCAGTTTCTGTACTGCATCAACTTGTTTTGCCCATCTCTTAGTGTCACAATAATTTTTTTCTTTAAAATTATGCATAATATTTTCAAAACAAATCACTGCTCCTTTATTATTACCATTCACTGGAACATAGTAGGCAACTTTACCAAGTTTGTTATTTTTAATTTCATATGTATGTTCCATCTAGATGACACCATACTTTCTAAACCACACACAGTTTATCTCTTTGGCTTATAATCATAACAACTCTGCCTGTAGTTCTTATGTAGATCCATCAATTTTACTCCAAAAATCAGATCAGCTTCATTCATATCAACAATGTCCTTTATTTTATTTTTAAACAGTTACAGCATATATAATTTTATTTCTTTCATTTATTAATTAGACAACCATATGGCCAGTTGAGTTATCCTTTGAAAGTAAGGTAGCACAGTCTGAAATGACCAGATTGAAATTTAAATTTTTGGTTGATCATAATCTTTTAACCCCAACTCTGGAACGTCTTGTGATTATGTAAGAAGAGTACTTATTATAAAAAAATGTGGTGGCTAATGAACTTCACTAATATTTATTTACATAAAAAGATCAACAGAAAGATCACAGGGAGGCAAAAAAGCAGTGGGAACCTCTGATCCAAAGGTGCTTTTCAAAAGGCAACTGAACTTTCTTGATTTTTTCCTTGAAGATATTTCACTTCACATCCAAAAAGCTTCTTCATTTCTGAACTGAACTGAAGAAGCTTTTTGGATGAGAAGTGAAATGCCTTCAAGGAAAACCCCCCAAAAAGTCCAGTTGCCTTTTGAAAAGCACATTTGGAACAACCATGATCTGGATGATTGAAATCTCCAGAGATGACTAAGTTTTGTCTTCCTGCCAGTTTCCCCATTGACTTTGCTTGTGGGAAGCTGGCAGGGAGTGTCAGAAATAACAATCACATGATTACAGGGATTCTGCAATGGCCACAATTTTGCAAATAAAGCTGATGTGAATCCTATGAGAATTTCAATTTCACAGAAGCAATGTCCTAAATATTTTACGCATTTGTTAAATTATCAGGTTTTAGATAATTGATAAAAAACCTATTATGGTATAATGCATTGTTTGGACTAACTTTAGGGTACAAAGAGACAAAATGATAAATACAGTGAGAGTTTTAATAGTATGTAGAGTTTTGTACTGTCCTTCAATTCTGGGTAAAGTTTGATGGTTCTCAAGTTCCTCCACCTTTTATTATTTTATTTTATCATTATATTTATTTTATTGTTATGTATACCTTTATCTGAGCACTCTGAATTGCTGGAACTAGAAAGGTATAACAGATTAAATAAATAAATATTTGTCTCTTCCATTCATCATGTCATCATGTTTTTGAACAAACAAACCTTGTGTGTGTGTGTGGACACGTCACATGCAAAAGTAAAGGCAGTAGTATTCAGTTTGGGCATTTTTTCTCAGCATGATTGATATACAGGATTCATTAAATTTAGATTATATTATAAATAATACTCAATAATAAATCCAATTATTCTCTCCTCTGGGTCAAGCTGTCCATATCATGGAGGGACTTATCATGATAGCCCAAAGTCCTCTTTTTTTTTTTAATTCAAGAAAATCTACTTCTTTAACTATAACTGGAAGCAGAGAAAGAATTGGCAGAAAAGGGGCAGTATCCATGTCATGAGCACTTTAGACTTATTTTATTAATTTATTTTTAGTCCAGGCGACTTCCTGGACAAGTACCTGCAGTTTTCTTAGCAAAAATTCAAAAGTGGTTGTCAATTCACTTCTTCCTAGGTCTGAGAGAGAGTGATTGATCCAAGATCACCCAGATAACCTTGTGCCTAAGGCAGAACTATAATTTTCAGTGTCCTGGTTTAGTCTGATGCCTTAACCACTATTCCGAGAAGAATTATGGCTGACATGGTTAGGACACTAGGTTGGAGGCTAGCAAGCCAATGTTTGAGATGTGAGTGCTGCTGCTTAATGGGTGAGCTCCTGTATTTCACTCTAGCTCCTTGACAGGAACATGAAAGTAGCCTCTCACCAGGCGTCCCCTGGGTAATCTGCTGTTATCTGCTAATCCCTTCAATCCAGAAACACCTTACACCAGGGCAGGGGTGGGTTCTAAATTTTTTTACTACCGGTTTTGTGGGCGTGGCTTATTTTGTGGGTGTGGCTTGGAGGTCATGTGACTAGGTGGGCGTGGCTAGCTGGTCAGAGTCATTTCTGGAGGGTCCTCGCACTTACGACCAGTCCTCGCACTTACGACCCGACTCATTTGTTTGCTTTTAACACTGATCAGCTGTAGGACGGCCCTTTGAAGCCCCGCGGCAAGAGTTTAAACAGTTTTTTTCCCTCTAGTCATCAGCTGGGACTCAGGAGGCAGCAATAGATTGGGGGTGGGACCAAATAAAAGGTAAGAATAACGTGGGGGGTGGGGGATGGGAGGGCGGGGGGGAGAGAACCGGTTTGGTGACATCATATCATCACCGCTACCGGCTCAGCCGAACTGGACCAAACCAGGAGGAACCCACCACTGCACCAGGACTGTCAAACTCCTGACCTGCAGGCTGGATGCGTCACATGCTGGCCACATCCACACACAGTTTAGCGAAGGGGGAAAACATCCCAATACATCATGTGACACCACTGTGATGATGTGAGTTTGACACCCCTGCCTTACAGCATGGCCTCCAACATGAACATGACAGGAACTACTATTCCAAACTGGCTATCAAATGGTAATATTAGCCCATAA